TTAGAATAAATTATCGTTTAGTGTTTGTGAAAAGGTATTTAGAATATCCACGACAATGAAATCATGATCTCAGTTAACGAAAAGTGCTGTTTGTAAAATTTATTTACCACAAGAATTGTACTCGAGTGCTTGTGAAAATTACCACAACAAGGATTGATATTAAAGGTAAATTTTAGCATAAATATTACAATTTGCACAAAGAAGGTATCATAAATCGAGTTTACCTTTGCCTATTTGTGGTGAAAATATTTTAATTATTGTAAAAATATTATATTAAGTATAAAATTCCTATAAATTCAAACTCTGAGAACTGAATAATATAAATGTGTGTAGTGTGAATGTGTACAGTGATTACAGGGTGAAATCTGAATGCATGAAAACTTTGACTAGTCGAATAAGTTTTATTTTAAGCAAATATAGGTAAAGAAATACTTTATGGACGAACAAAACCTATGTTATAGTCTTAACGCTAGATTAAAATCGTTACAAACACTTTTTAGTAAAATCACTAATCCAAATCAGAATCTTGATATTATTATTTGTGAACTTATAAACGTGGTCTATTAGTCAAAATATTTGATATAATAATTATATATCATCAATTGCCACTGTCCCTGGTAAAATCTAAAATTTAAAAAACATATTATAATAATAAGACAATAATCATATTTTAAATGGATCGCTTACTACCATGTTTTAGAAATAAATAAAGTGTAACTCTTAAATTAATATAAATATATTCCAAATAATTCAATAATTTAAGATTCCTTGCGTCATGTTAATAAAAATTAAATAAAATTTTTCACCATTTTTTTGGTATTCTATCCCTCACTTCCACGTCTCTAATAGCTCTACTGTCAACTAGTTGGCATATTGTTTATAAAAATTTTGAATTTTATTTTGCATCTTTTCTTCACAAAAGCTGTCATTATGACGAATTTTCTCCACTTTTATTCCTCGAGGAGTCCAAACGTACAAAATACAAAACTCCATTTGTGTAATGTGCACACGGAAAAAAAATTGTAGAACAAATTTCTACAATTATACATTTTTTCTCTACAATAAATAGTACATATAGTGACAGAGACAATTTGTAGTAAAAATTTCCAAATATTTGTAGAGAATGTATTATAGAGTTATTATCTACAATGTGTAGTAAAAATAGCCAAATACATCATATGAATTGTTCTACAAATTGTTATAATTTTTGCTATTCATTGTATGAATTTATATTAAAAATGTACTGCGTTTCATGAAAATTAATACGAAAATTTTACACAATAAATAGTAAAAATTCATACAAATTGTAGTAATTTTTAATAAAATTTGTAGTAGTATTCCATAATTATTATAATTATAACCTAGAAAAAATGTTCCTTAATAAAATATTCAAAATTTATTGTTTCAATATAAAAGATACAAGATACATTATGTAATAAATAACAGTAATAATAGCTTCCTCAGTCTCAGTTGGCTTTTTTGCACCTGAAAAATATGAAATAAAAATTATTACCTATTGAATTGTTCATACCCTTAAAACAGGGATATTTATCACCTTTACACTGATTGGGATATAAAATGACTACGTCAGATAACTAACAAAAATGAGAAAGTAGGTATGTCACAATTAAGACAAAAAAACATCATTTTACTTGGCACAACATTCGATCGTTGGCCACAACTATATTTTTTTTTAATAATCTACTAAGGTTATTTAAATTAGTTATCTAAAGGTAAATTATTCAGAAACAATAATAAATGTACTTACCACTAATAGAGGTTATTATTAAAATTTTCTCAAACGCATCGGTGCTTATAATATAATAATGTGTTATACAGGGTGTTTCAAAAAGGTATGTCATAAATTCATCCTCAGATAGATTACCAAAAAATAAGTGGATTTGGCTATATTTACCTATATCAAAAACTGGCTCCCAACAAAGTTACAGGGTGTACATAGTAGAAAAGGATATACATTTTGTTGGTGTCATCCTCTAGACGAAAAAGCTTTTAACGTATTTTTTTATTGTAAGAAAAATAAATGCTCCTGTATGTAAAAATTAAATATATTGTTCCCTTCTAGCATTTTTATTTGTATTTCTTTTCGTTAGAAAGACTTCTTTTAAATTTTTTTTGAAAGAAACCGATTCAAATTTTCAAAAAGTGACACCAGCCTAATTTTTCTTATAGTAAAAATAAAAAATAATCCGTAAAATTGGTGTACTATGAAACCCTTGCATATTATACACTGCTCAACAATTAAAGTGGATATTTTAAAATTTTGTTTTTTTGTCAATAATATATCTGAAAAGAAAAACCATTTACAGGAAAATTAAAAAAATTTAAAAAGTAACAACAAAAAATTCTTGCATTGCGCACTTTACAAAATCCCTATAAAAAAATTAATATCTTGTTGGACCTCCCCTGGCTCGTCTTAGTGCTGTCACTCTATCTGGCATACTCTCTATTAAATTATTGATAAATTGCTGAGGTATGGTTTCCCAAATTGCCTACAACTCATTACCCAACTGTTCTAAGGTTTGGTGAGGCTGTTGACTTCGGTTTAATCACCTAGACATTTCAGCCCAAACATGCTCGATACAATTTATATCTGGTGAACAGGGTGGCCAATCCATTCTTGTAATTCCATGATGTTATATGCGATAGTTTACAATTCTCGCACGATAAGGACGAGCATTATCGTCAATAAAAACAAATCGTTCACCTATTGCACCAAAAAATGGTACAATTATCGGCTCTATAACCCTATCCCGATATCGTATGGCAGTCATTCTATCATTAGTTAAGACTACTATAAGACCATTATAACATATGCCTCCCCAGACGCAAACTGATCCACCACCAAAAAGATTTGTTGGGGCCATTAAATTTTTATTGTATCGCTGTCCTCTTTCGCTCCATACTAATATTCGGCCATAACACGTATACAAACGAAGTCTGGACTCGTCGGTAAAGAGGCAGTGCCTCCAATTTTGAAAAGTCCAAAGACTATGTTCTTCCGCCCATCGATATCGGCTCCGCCGTCAGTCTTGGATGTGTTGCGCGACGTCCCCCTCTTAAGTTACATGCATGCAACCTTTTTCTGATAGTTTGACCAGAAATTACTCGTACAGTAGCTTGTCTAAAGAAGGTGTTAATTCTTGATGCCGTAAATGTTCGGTTTCTTTTCGCAAAGACTATAAAGCGGTCTTGAGCACGAGTTGTAGCTCGTTCTCGTCCTCCCCCATGTGTGTACGCTGCAGACCCAGTTGCTTGATACCGATTCCAAACACGACTTACGACACTCTGAGACACATTCAGCCGTGTGGCGACTTCTTCTTGGGACAAACATTCCTCTATCCAACGCACTAATTGCTGCAGTTGCGCTGCCTCTAATCGTCGTAGCGGCATATTCTTTACCCGAATACACAAAATTATTGATAAAAGTAACAGAACAAGCTTTGCTGCACAACTGAAACTTTACGATTTTTAAACAACCTTCCTGCAATTTTCGTGAATGAGATAAGAGCATTGACAACGAACAATAAACATGCAAAAAATAATCGCTGTGAATACGGTTTATTGATAATACAAAAAAAAATGTTTTTCCTAGAACCACTTAGGAAAGTGACACATATCACACTATATAGTCCTATGGAAAGTGCCCTATATCACACGCGTATGAATAAGAATTTACTTTCCATCCGTGTACGAATATGCTACTTTCCGCAGCAGCTGTCACAAAATGTCAAACACATCATTTCTATTTTGATCTATGTATGTCCATATTAATACTAAAATCAATATGATTGTTAAATTATTGAAATTGTTGTAAATTAGATCCTAGATATTTATCTTTAACAATTATTATTAAAATAATTTTAAAATAACTAAGATATGTTTGCTTTTTATTCTGGTTAAACACATCGCCGATTAGGTCATTCAATTGACGCAAGTCCTATTAGCTTAGATGGTTACAGTGCCAAACTTTATCAACTTTGCCATTTAAGACCTGGCAGGCGACCGCGTTCAAATCCTGGTGGGGCCAGATTTTGTTTTGTTTCTATAATTTTTTTTGTTTTTTAATTTTTTTTTTTTGTTTAGAAAATATGAAAATTGAATAAATACGATTATTGTTGATTACTTTTTAAATACATTTTAATTATTATAATAATAATAATAATCTAGTTTTAAATTCTTTAAAGAAATTATTTTGTGGTCGTAGGAAAAATATTGTACATCATTTTTGTGAAAAAAGATTTTCCACACTCGTGTGATAGTCGCACTCGACTTGTGCCTTGTGCGACAATATTTCCCACTCATATGAAAAATATCACTTTCCACACTCGTAATGTAATATAATATTTTTTAATATGTTTACATATATATTTCAGGATTTTAGCAATTATCCAGTTCAATTGTTAAGCAGTGTATATGTATTACATATATGATTTACCTTAAACAATAAGGTGTGCAAATACGTAAAATTTACTTATACCTCTTAAAAAATCAGTAAAATATATTTAAATTGTTTTCATTCATAAATATTAATTTCTTAAAAATCTAACAGAGGCGCCACTTGCTAGATGAAAAATCTTGCAATGTAAGGGTTTCGTAGTACCCCACTTTTAAAGTTTATTTTTAAAAGAAAAATATATGTACGTATAGGTAAAGGTCTATGCTCCTCTGGAAACACTTTTTCAAAATTCAATTTAGATTTTTCTAAAAAAAATTGAGAAAATGGGTAAAAAAGTTTTGTATTTTTTTATAGAAAAAACAGATTGAAATTTTGAAAAAGTGTTTCCAGAGGAGCACAGATTTAACCTTTACCTACACGCACATATTTTTTTCTTTCAGAATAAGTCAAAAATAAATTTTAAAAGTGGGATACTACGAAACCCTTGTATGTTCTGCTTTAAAGCCAAGTAAATACTCCTATTAACACAAGAAATTTTCCAAGCCATGTGTAAAAAAATAATACTGTTTAATAATCGTTTTAGGTGCAGAAGAATATGATTTTATCATAGTAGGCGGAGGCACAGCAGGTTTAACCCTGGCTCACAGACTATCAGAAGAACCCAGATGGAAAATTCTAGTATTAGAAGCTGGAGGAATGGAAACTTTGATTACTCAAGTACCAGCGTTGCAACCACAATTACTGACCACCGGGTACACGTGGGGCTACAAAACTTGTCCACAAAAGCACGCTTGTCTAGGTAAGCAGAAATAATAGAAACAATTTGTTTCAAGTTGAATAATAGTATATTATGTAACGATCATGTAATGATGGTTATTATTACACGAGCATTAACCGGGATACGAAACGAGCCGAAGGCGAGTTTCGTATGGTTTATACGAGTGTCATATATGTAAGGTGAAGTATCACATAATCCAGAGAGTATAGTATCAATTATTGTTAGTAAAAACATACTACCACTTTCATTCCAAAAGGCATTTGGTTGTATTAAAATAAACCTTGATGAGTATTTATTGTTAAATATTTTCTTAAATTACTGAGGCCCTTTCTATGAGGCCTCAGTCACAGTTTATAGCTAAAGAATCAGTTCGCTCACTCTGCGTCAGCACTTTTGATCTCAATGTTCCAGTTTATACATTGCGCAACTCGGATTTATATCCCTGGCGCATACAGAATCAAATCATAATAGCCCAAGAGCCCACTGTAAATTTTTACCGCCATCTGATAATGAAATAAAATATACCCCAAAAGCTTGTAAAAACATTGTACTTTACCGAATGGCACCTATGACAATCCCAATCCTGAGCAGTGTTTAAAAAAAAACAATTTATATTAAAAAAATCACATAAGGCATGACAGCGCTAATTTTGTTTGCCCTTGAAGTTTTCCAGATAATAACATATTCAAATATATCTTTATATATATCGTTAACGGGAAACATTTTCTTCCTCTTAACATCGCACAAAAACATCTACATATCTACATACGATTACTAGGTATAAAAATCATTAAAAATATGAATCAATTTTTGCTGATTTTATTTGTATGCCTATTGTTGTGATTCATTTTTACAAGTTGTCATAGAAACGACAAAAAACTATATGATTATGGTTTAAAAGAATTGTCTAACAAGAGTTTATAAATATTATTGACTATCTCTGCCAAAGTTAGGTAACAATATTAATAATTCAGGTTTAAAAGCTAGGTTAACAATGAATTAGGATTGTAATTTTCAGAGAAAAAACAATTATCGCTGTCATGTCTTATGTAATTTTTTGAATATAAAAGAATTTTTTTAACCACTTTGCTCTGGATTACAGATTGGCACAGGTGTAATTTGGTAAAGTACAATGTTGTTACATGTCTTTGGAGCATATTTCATTTTGTTATCAGATGGCGGTCGTAATTTGCAGTGGGCTCTCTTACTATTACCAATTAAGCATTCCAACGACCTGTCAAACAATAGCTGTCAGTGAGAAGGTCTGGTATATCTAAGGGGGTAAAGACATAGTCTTGCATCTTGAACGTTTTTTTTTTATTCGAAATAATACTCACAAAGCCTGCCAATTTATGAAAAAATGTATCTTATTTTTATTGTGTTTGACATAAAATATTTAAATGTAATCCATTATTCATGATTTTACGTATTGTAAACAGAATACATCGTATGTCGTAACCCTTGGATATATCAAATCTTCCCACTGGCAGTTCATTTGTTTGGAATGCCTAATACAATATAATATGACAACCGCCTATATTCAAACAGCAGTCTTCTGCGCATCCTGAATTTGTATCCCTGGAGTGGATGTTATTTTGGAACATCCAATTGGTCCGAGTGAGCGAACTGATTCTTTTAAGCCATAAACTGTGCCTCAGTATTCGTGCAGACGAAAAAGTTTTCTTACCCCCATTTTTTAAAACTTTTTTTCACGTTTCCGATCATTCAAAGTCCAAAATGCAAAAAAAAAAATTCGTCTAGTCGTCTGTGCGTACGTATGCCGGCACGATAACTCTAAACGAAAGCCAGATCGACTTGTGGTTTTGATTTTCTTGAATAATTGCTTCTAACTTAGAACCCTATTGATTTTCAGAATTTTCGGTTCATCATAACTACTTTAATATCAATGTTCTTAAAATCTGCCCAGGCATTTCTTATGTGAATTATTTTACGCATTCCAATCATTCCTAACGTCTAACATTTCTAACATTCCTAACATTCCTAACATTCCATTCATTGCAAACATTCCAATATCAGGCACTCCACGAACTTGTCAAAAAACAACTGTTGATTGTAAAGGTGAGATTTCTAAGGTTGGTTACGATTTTCATAGTTGCAACCATACATCTTATTTAACATTATAAAATAATAGTACTTGGGTGTCCAAAATATGAACTGTGATTGGTAGATTTCATTTTCTTTGCAGTGTTCTCACTACCTATAATGGATATGAAATATATTCGTTCAGTTGAACGCAATGACATACTTTTTCATTATGTAGTCTGTGGGTAGATAAGCTAATATTCATGTAGGTGTAGAAAAAAGCATTAAGTAGATAGTTGGGTATCCAAAATATGAACTCTGATTGGTGTTTTATATTTTTTTGCAGTGTTCTCACTACCTAGAATAAATATAAAATATATTCGTTCAGTTGAACGAGCATACTTTTTCGTTTTGTAGTCTGTGCGTATGAGGGTATAGAAAATTAGTAATTTGTTCAACAAAAGTGGATATGGACAATCCACTAGAGTTGTACAGTATATTTTTTCTACAACTTACTAACGAAAATCGAAAAATCGAATAATCGAAGAAGGAAAAATCGAAAAAAACAAAAAAAAACGAAAAATTAAAAATCGAAAAATCAAAAATCGAAAATGGAAAAATTGAAAGATCGAAAATTCGAGAAAACAAAAAATTAAAAATCGAAAAATCAAAAATCGGAAAATCAAAAATCGAAAAATTGAAAGATCGAAAATTAAAATGGAAAATTCAAAAAAACTAAAAATTGAAAATCTAAAAATTGAAAGATCAAAAAATCGAAAAAGCAAAAATCAAAAACGGAAAGATCAAAAAATTAAAAAATAAAAATCGAAAAATTCAAATAGAAAAATCGAAAACTCAAAAATCAAACAATCGCAAAATTGAAAAATAGATAAATCGAAAAATTGAAAAATCGAAAAATCAAATAATCAAAAAAGGAAAAATCAAAAAATCGAAAAAACGAAAAAAGCAATGAATGTAAAATGTCACTCATTTTACATTTGACAATTTGACATTACGTTTAACAACAAAAAAGAAAACAAAAAAATAAAATCTGCAAATTGTTTTATTTTTTAAATAATTGAACACCGTTTTTGAAAACAGCCCGAAATGTTGAACGTAAAATTTTGACGTACTTCTTTAAGATTAACGGAAAAAAACGGATGCTTGTCGAGCTAATGAGATGTATTTCATGAAAATTAGTGATATACAAGACCTTGGATCAACTTTTTTAGTAAACATCAGACGATAAAAACCTATTGATTAAGGTTTTCTTCATATATTAAATGTAGGTATTTATTTTTTAAAGTCTTTAATAATAGGCATAATGGAAGCTTGTCCGGCTAATGAGATGCATTGCATGAAAATTAGTGATTTAGAAGACCAATTAGCTCTTTTAGTAAATTTTCCTAAAACCAAGACAAAAACAATTCGAAAATTTTGCCAATGCTTCACAAACTAAAAAATTCAACGTCTCTTGAATTGCTATTTATTTCAATCTATAAAATGCATCAGAGAAATCGTATAATGCAAAAATATCCCCAAGAGTTGGAAAAAGATAATGTTGGGACGCTCTGTTCAGTTCTGCAATAACATTTGTTGTGACTTCAAGAGGCAATGTTCCATGTGAAACTACGTTGAAATTCTGTAATCTTTCGAAATCTTCTGTAAACTTTTCAACTCTTCTTCTACCTTATTCAAAATTGCAAACGCAATTAGTAGTTTCGGTCAAGAAAATGGTCTTGCGTTTTCTTCTACGTAGAATTCTACTTAAATATTGGTACAACAGTTCAATGTGTTTTGAAAAATTTCAGTCCTTTCCAGACAACACCTTTATAGCCGATTTCCAACATTTCTCCCCTTCTTTTTAGACAATCTTGTAGATGACTTGGTTTACTGGTACCTCTTTTTGATCTCCGTACAAAACCTGCATTTTCCGTTACCAAATTCTATTCGTTGCCAGAAAACCCCTTGTGTCGGTTCTCATCAAATATTGACAACATTTTTGGCTTCCCGAAAAATATTTTAGATAAAAATTCATGTACACGAATAATTTCCTGTAAACATTAAAACACTAGGGATATTATTAGTGAAAATGTATCTTATTGTCCTTAATCTATATTGAACGATTTAAAATCACGAGATGAGGCAGATTTGCTACTATTTTGGTAATACCTGGTAATCCAGAAACGGTAAGAGATGGTGTTATTGGCTAAAGTAAAAAATATATATTTGGCCAAGTCCGAGAGACAGACCAAGCTACAGATCGAAAGAAAAACAGAACGAAAGACAGAAAGATAAATAGACACCGAAGTGATACCTTAATTATTTCTTTTTTCCAAATAGCGAAAGGAACACTAACAATAATCTCTATAGTTTTCATTTAATTTAATTCCATGTTTCTTTCAGGCATGGAGGACAACAAATGTTGTATAATAAAGGCAAAGTCAGTAGGAGGTGACTCTTCAATAAACGATATGCTTTACACCAGAGGCCATCAAAGAGATTACGATATTTGGGCTGATACGGGAATGAAAGGTTGGTGCTGGGACAACGTCTTGCCATATTTCAAACAAATGGAAAACGCCTGTGTCAAGGACATGGATAGAAAATTCCGTCATTATGGTAAATACGTAATAATACTAGTTTAAATATTTTAAAGAAATATCACATGGTTTTTCTTCTTTCCTTCTTACTTCTGTCTAAATTAAGTTGTCGTTCAAAGCTCACTTGTACTGAAGCTCTAGACTTATTTCATTTGGGCTAATATATTTTGATGAATTCAAGAATATTTCTGATAGACGCTTTTGCGATTTCTCCGGGTTCCAGGATATTGTAGCCCGAAGTACCATTCGCGTTCCCATGGCATGATATGTGAACAGAAGTTACATCCTTCTCTTCATATATTTTACATAGGAAGTCGGCGGATATCCCTGAGATTTAGGTGCCCTATCTTCAGTTCGTTCCTGCTCTGCTCTGAGTCCTGGAAGTGACAACCAAAGCTTACGGTGGACTCTATTGACCTGTTTCATTAGCACTTCTTTAACACGTTATGAAATATCACATGTGAGTTCCACTCCAATTAAAGTTTTCTTAACTCTCCCTCTGACTAGGGGGTCTGCTTTTACCTTATCCCTTACTCTCCTATTATCTATTAGGGTGTATTAGTCCCATTCTTTGTTAGCATTTGATTTATTTCTACCCTTTCATTTTTTATGTTCTTTTCCCATGCTGGTACGTCTCCAAACCAGTTAAGCTGGATCCTTCATAGATTTTTAATCAAATTTTCCTTCTTGTTGACTAATTTTTCAATGGCACCGTTTTTTTTTTGTTTTTTTCATTGTCACATGGTTAAATTTACTTATATAACTTTTTTTAGGTGGACCAATTCATTTGGAAAATTTCCAACCAACTGACCCAATTCTTACTGAGCACTTCCTTGAAGGTGGTAAACATTGCGGGTTAGAAAAAATCGACTACAACGGCAGAGATCACATTGGTCTTGCAATTCCACAGGTACGTAAAAATAAATATTTAAGAACGTTCGTGTTCTGTTTTAAATATAGCTTAAACCAGTACAGACATTTTATAAGAAGCCCCATCTGATGACAGCAACCTTATGCTAAATTATGAAATACCCCTTTAAAGGGTAATAGGACTAGGTAAATTAAATTTCCTGATGCCTACATATCTAAAGGCTTGAGCTTATCTGCATATACCACAGGATTTTATTGTAGCTTCGATTTATTTTCGTGTTTTATTTCTTCCAAATCCTACACTTCCTTGAATAGATAGAATTGGAAGGGTTGTTATAAGCATTTCCTTGCTGCATTAGCGACAGAAGGGGGGCACAATAGATCTTTTAGATCGCAATGTATTAACACTTCATTCCCAACATAACATTCCTTCAATTCTGTTTCTCAACAATGACTAAGAATATTACTAGTAGTATGTACACAATTTTGTACGTTCTTTATATGTTCTGAGTACATAAGTTGTTTATTGGATTAAAAATGGTCCAATCTTAAAATGAACCTTCTTTGCAATCCTCTATTACCAGGTTATCACCAAACACGGCAAAAGGTACAGCGTGGCCAAAGCATACTTGAACCCCATCAGCCAAAGGAACAACCTGATCATCATTCCACAGAGTCACGTGACCGAAGTCCTCATAAGTCATATTACAAAAGAAGCCAACGGAGTTATATACCTCAAAGACGGAGAGATGCACATCGCAAAAGCCAAAAAGGAGATAATATTGACTGCTGGAGCTGTCAATACTCCTCAACTTTTGTTGTTATCAGGTAAAAATGTTGCACACCAATTAAAGAATAAATGAAGATAAAGCAATTTGACAATTTTTTAGGTGTTGGACCTCGTGCAGACCTATCAAAAATGGGAATAGATACGATCTCAGACCTGGCAGTAGGCTGCAATCTCAAAGACCAAGTATCATTCATGGGGCTTAACTTCGTCTACGACACTCATGACTCAGAACACTCGCACCGTCCAGGCCACTCACCTCTCTCAGAATTAGACGCCCATCCCATATCCCAAGACTCCCACCAGCACCCTCACAGGACTTCTTTCGATGTTAGGTTTGATGGCCCGAGTTTTGTACCAAAACTGGGACTTGAAGATGATGATGCGATAGCTCATAATTATTATGAACATGAAAAGGACGAGCCTCGTCAAGAAGAAAGGAAGTATGCTGAAAAGAAATACAAGTATATCGAGGCTAACAAAGGCGACAAGGTATGATCTGGTTTATCCATCATTTTTTGTAATTATTTTGATCGTGCCTTCTATTTTAAGGTGAAATGGCTACACAGTCATACAGACGAGGACATCACAAGCTACTTGAGATACGGTACAGGCCCTCTAAGTTCAACAGGACTACAGCTGGTCGGTTTTATCAAAACAGACTTCTCCAGAGATAGTACAGAATATCCTGATATTCAACTGCTGATTAAGAAGACCCATCCCAAGGGAGGTGAGTAATTCGAGCGATCGATACAATATTTTTACACTAATACCGCATTTTGAGTTTGCTCAATGACCATTTTTTTCTAGGTTGCTACCACTTCAAAGGCTACAGCCTAAAACAAGAACTACAAGACATCTTCTGTAAACCGTACGAAGGCTTCCAAGTAGAAGTCGTTTTGCTACATCCCAAATCAAAAGGTATCTTGAAATTAAACGATCAGGATCCTTACCACCATCCCTTCATCAATCCCGATCTTCTATCAGACGAAGACGAATATGACGTTGGTACGTTGATGGCGGGTATCAAAAAAGTGCTGAAGATTGTCGATAGTCCGGCTATGAGTAAATTGAATGTGAAGCTGGTCCACGAGAAGATTCCAGAGTGCGATCAAGCCATATTCAACGATGAGTATTGGAAGTGTGCAATCAAGTAAGCATTTGATTATACACCACAAAAAATTTATCTAATAATAGATGTTAATTGAAAGGTTAATTTATTTGATTTTATAACTAATGTTTCGGTAATTTTATTCATCTTTAGATACATTTAAATAACAAATGGAAGAATCCTTTGCAAACAAAATGCTTAGTTAACTTCTTCATGGTCCTTCGAGCCGATTTATATTGAACAATTATGAACATTTTGATTTAAATTTTCTAGATACCTGTCAGTGGCTAGAGGACAAATTACCGGAACAACCAGGATGGGTTTACCGACAGAAAAGGAAGCTGTTGTCGATCAGGATCTCAAAGTTTACGGAGTCCACAAATTGAGAGTAGCTGACGCTAGCGTTATTCCTGTCAGTATAACAGGAAATCTAATGGCTCCCGAAATTATGATTGCAGAACGAGCAGCTGATATTTTGAAAGAAAATTGGTTGATAAAAGTCTAATGCGAGTATTTGAGAAAATTCGGTGAAATATGTCATGAAAATAAGACTGTCATCTATTTATATTTACTAATAGAGATATAATAAATATTGACGATGTTCTTTTTTCTAAAGAAATTGATTTAAAATTGAGTTAGTCTTTTTTTTATTGAAACGTTGAGCTCGTTATTTAATCAGTATTTTTTTATGTCCGAAAAGAATAATTTCTTCGTTTTTTAGAATTAGTACAAGAAAATGTACTAAAATAAAAATGTAAATACAATTTTCTTGAATTTTTATTACTGCCGACAATCGCTAATGTCTAATTTAGTTGCTATTTTTAATGAAAAACCTCTTATTTTAATCATTATAGTGGAATATATAGTGTGACGAGACACACTGAAAATTATTCCAAATTAATAAAAAAACAAATAAAAATAAATATAAATAAAAATAAATAAAAATAAATAAAAATTAATAAAAATAAATAAAAATAAATAAAAATAAATAAAAATAAATAAAAATAAATAAAAATAAATAAAAATAAATAAAAATAAATAAAAATAAATAAAAATAAATAAAAATAAATAAAAATAAATAAAAATAAATAAAAATAAATAAAAATAAATAAAAATAAATAAAAATAAATAAAAATAAATAAAAATAAATAAAAATAAATAAAAATAAATAAAAATAAATAAAAATAAATAAAAATAAATAAAAATAAATAAAAATAAATAAAAATAAATAAAAATAAATAAAAATAAATAAAAATAAATAAAAATAAATAAAAATAAATAAAAATAAATAAAAATAAATAAAAATAAATAAAAATAAATAAAAATAAATAAAAATAAATAAAAATAAATAAAAATAAATAAAAAATAATAAAAATAAATAAAAATTAATAAAAATAAGTTTGATAATGTCTATAGATGAGAAAAAAATGAATGTGACAAGAGATCAAGCTGATTGTGGATTGTAGCAAAATGAAAGACGTAAACGAGTCACTGTTTCAAAATTTGGAGACATTTGTAAAAAAAGGAAAGGCATTCTTTAAACAATTTCATAAAATCTCTTATTTTTTGCTAAAGCCTTTTAATATGACATGGGCAATAAATCCAGAGCAAAATAAGATTTGGAAATTTATTTGCAAGAAAAAGTTTTTATATGTGGACTTTTATTGATTCCGAATTTGATTATGTTGCTGTCAGTCCAGATGGAATTTAAAACAAAAAACTCTATGATAGAGTTAAAATGTCCATATGAAGCTAGAGTGTTGACTGAAGAAGAAGGAATATGCAGTAGAAAAATAATTTTCTGGAATAAGGATAATACCATTAAGGGGAACCACAATCGGTACTTTCAAATTCAGGGCTAGCTGCACATTACACAAATTGATTTTTGCATTTTGTGCGTTTGGACTCCTCGAGAAATAAAAGTGGAGGAAATTCCTCATAATGACAACTTTTGGGAAGAAAAGGTGCAAAATAAAATTCAAAATTATTATATGCAATATGCCTTACCAGAACTAGTTGATAGCAGAGCTAATAGAGACATGGAAGTACTGGACAGAATGCCAAATAAATGGTGAGTTTAACAGTACGGGTTTTTATGAATTTGTTCTAAAAGCTGTACCTCATTATAACAGATTATTCGAACAATAAAAATAATTTTTGTTAAAATATAAATAATAGTAATATGCCGAAACATTATATTTGATCGCTACATATTATAAAAACAAAGGTACCTTCTCATTTAACTAACTCACACATGGCTACTCTAAGTTTAAATATTATAAATCCGCTTGAATATAAAAATAACAGGTATGGAAAATATTTTTTAAAAACATAGTTTATTAAAAAATATAAAATGTCATGAGACCGTTTATTGTTTGTTTACATTGGCCTCCTGTTTTTGTTACTTTGATTTTTTGTATCAAGGACATATTATTATGTGATATAGAAGGGAATGTATTGCTAAACTATGGACGCTTTTCTACTCTTAATCAATTATTATTAGTAGAGTGTATGTAATAAAATATTCGATCTAGAAAACGATTTTCCTCCCTTTGTCACAAGCTGAATTTTTCAGAGATAAAAGGTCATGATAAGGTTACCCTTATTCCGGAGGTAATACAAAATTAGACTGTGCAGAAGGGCACTATCATCAAAAATCCAGATACCGAATAGAAAAAAAAAATATTTATTTTTTGGTCCAATGCACAATAAAATCTTTGTAAGGAGTAATTTTTATACTTATTTAAAAAAAATTTCAGCCCTTCAAAAATTTGTTTAAAAAGTAATTTTTTAAAATATCATTTAATCATTTAACAAAAAGAAAGGCCCTAATGAAAAACTTAGTATAGCACTGTTTCTCTCTGCGTGTCGGCTGATGCATCACATTATTTATATGCTAAGATTTTTTCATTTTGTTATTATAAAACTTCTCGTTAGGTGCCAATGGACAAAGTGTCGTATTGTCTGTTTTTACTAAAAAATTAATAAGTGTGTTACATATTAAAGTTCCTAATAAATTGGGAAGAAATATAGACATGTTTTACGTTTTTATTACATCTACATTCATCCTTTTATAGCTGAATGCCTGAATATATTTGAGTAAGTTGGGTAAGTTTTCGTTAAACATTTTAATTACGGATTTGTTGTTGCAAGAAGCAAACACAAAAATGATATCAAAATATGACTTCTTAATCCTTGCATGGTCAATAGTTTCTTTACAATATTTTATTAGCAAAGGATATGGACAGAAGCATTAGGTAATTATGACGAAATATTTAAGTTTGATCTGACAGCTTCTCCCATGTCTCTAACAGTAAATGGGTATCTCGGCATCTCTAAAAATAAGAGTTTATTAGGAAATATTTTAGAGCAATATGACCCACAAAGACTTACCTGCATCTAGGTGATCTTGCAAAACTTGTCACATTTTTTATGGGATAGCAATAGCTCAAGGTTTGGGAAAGTCCAAAAGTTGCATATCATTTAAAGAATATGCTAATGTATTTGTAAAAATTATTTTTAAAAATAAATTTAATGCTCAAAGGATAGATGTGGTATTTAATCATTATAAAGAAAATTCTATCAAAAATACAACACGTCAAAAGAGATTATCCCAGAAATCAATTGATATAGAAATTGACAGACCCAATATTCCACTTCCAGAATAATGAAACGTGTTCATTCATTCGATATTTAATAAAAGACGTTTAACACATTTTCTGTCAGAGCAACTTCTTGAAAATTTATATCTAGTGATGGATTCGCGAGTATCAATAAATATGGGATGAATTTTGAACCATCAAAATACGATTTCTTAAATTTAAATCATGAAGAAGTTGATACTCGTATCTTATTGCACATATTATTAGCCAGAAATTCGGGGAATTCACGCTGCATTATTGATTGCAACGATACAGATGTTCTAGTCTTATTAATTTATTTTAAGTAGTTTTGAACTAAAAAGATATGGTTCATAATAGGGCGAAGAGACTCGTGACGATTTATAGTAGTACATGATTTAAATTTGGATAAAAAACTTCTAAAAAATTTGCCTTCTTTTCATTCTGTGACAGGTCGTAATAAAACCAACCAATTGTCTGGCATTGGAAAAAGAACCTGTTGGAAAACCTACCTTGAACGCCATAATCTTTTGGATGGATTTAGCACTGATTCATAGGTACTCTGAAAACACATTCTCTAATATTGAAAAATTTTTCATAAAACTGTATTCAAAAACTGCCAATGTTACTTCTATTAACATTTTGAGGGGATTAATGGCCTCTTTAAAATAATTGCTAAATTGCCATTGACTGAAGACGCCCTAAGATTACATTGTTTAAGATGTTTTTACCAGCTAAGTATTTGGCTAAGCTCTTTAAAGACCCAGATGCAGCTTCCTAATGTTGAAGAATATAAGTGGAAAGTAGATCAAGATGGAAGCCTGATACCCACTCTTAAGATTATGCTCGACCTGCCACTAGAAATAACAGAACTTATTATGCAAATGCAAAAAAGGACTATACATCGATAATTTTCATACATGTACAATATTTTAACAATATTATTCTATTCTAGACTATGGAAGCAAAATTTGCAAATGCAGAAAAAAATATTGGCTACATCTGTTAATGCACCTGTATGGCACAGAAATAGTTTGATCATAGCCGCTAATGTTTTGGAAAATGTAGATTAATGTGGTGAATCTGATTCTGATTAGTTTGAGTCTTGTACTTATATCAGGTGTTCAAATTAAAGTGTTACAGCTAAATACCGCCTTTTATAAAAAAAAACGTTTCAGACGAAAGTTTTATAGTTTTGTGGGGAAAATTTTTTGCCTAAAATCGTTTTTTAAAGCTAACCGTAATATGACCAACTTTTTTTTTGCCCAGCAAAATTTTTAACTAGTAAAAGTCCAATAAAAAAAATATTTTCATCAAAAGTTTCTTATTTTTTTATGTACTTTAAGAATATGTAAATAAAAAATGGGATTCCCATTTAAAAAAACAAAGTCCACCTCGATATGTCCATATTATGGTCAGCTATAAAAAAATTAATTAAACCAAAATGTTTCCCCCAAAAAACTATAAAAGTTTTGTCTAAAACTTTTTTTTCTAAAATGCATATTTTCGGCGGCATTTAACTGTAACACTTTAATTTGAACACCCGGTATATTTTAATATTATTAATTTATGCTTTATATACTTCTAATTATTGAATTTTTTTATTAAGAATTTATTGTATTCTGCAAAGCAATAGTCTTACAATTTATAATTTATACTATATACTATGCTTATACCTTCCATAAATAATTTATATATTTTATTTTTTTATTTTCCTCAAAAAAAAATCATGAAGTAATACACCCTATAAAACATTATTCGCCTTCATAGCGGATAAATCAATAATACCTATATAAAATAATGTAAGAGAGTCAAACAGATTGCATACATTTCATCCCTGAGAGAGACGCATACAGCCAAGAGACTGCTTCCTTTCCTGTAAAACCATGACATCAGTAATTGTTTATTGCTATATTTTTGTTAATTTAATAGCAAAAAATATAAGGAAAGCACTCTTACCTTGTCAATACGCAGGCGAAACTTTTATGAAGAATATTTTTTTTTCGTTTAGGCCTTCGTTTTTCGTCAAATGAAAGGTTTATTTCTAAAAGAAGATTTTTTTAACCAAATTTGTCGACAGCCAAAATAAGTTTTAATTCACACCATACTTATATTAATTGTAAAATACATGGAATATTTTTCGGTTCCTTTTTCTCAACTTCGCGCGTTAAGTTTAGAATACGCATCCCTCGTATCTACATGCAATTGTTAAAATTATGAATGAATGCTGATTTTGTTTGGTCTCTGAAGTAATTTTGTAGTATTTAGGCTCCACCCTTAAGTTGTAATTTTTATACCTACTAAATTACCGTTGCCCCGCAGGTCTTTCAGTTTGTAATGTAAATTTTCCTCTTAATATAAACCCAAATAAAAAAACAGCGATATTAGCGCTTGTACAAAGTTTTGAACCGAATTTACAAACGATAAAATGATTGGAAAAAAGTGAACATTCTTTTTAAATTACTACGAGCTGCCACTGCTTAAGAATGATGTTACAAAAATTAAACTATTTTAATAAGAAGAAACCTTTGAAAAAGATAAATCGTACTTCGCCTTCGTTGCATTTTCATAGTTGAGTCTGACATTCGCAACATTTCAAAAAATTGGCGATAATAATCGTACCACTTATATTATTACCCTTTATAGTTTCACTTTATTGATGTTTTTATTGTTTACTAACGATATTTTTTTAATGCATTATCCATGTAATTAAGCTAAATTAGCTACATATGCCGCATTTAAATATCCACATCGGATGCATTTTTTACATCTCTAGAGTTTGTTTATCCACATCGGTCTTATCATCCATTTTTGGTCTTAAAAGTCAAATATAAAAAATAAACTTCTAAGTGGTCATTGTCATTTTATCACGTGTCCAATAAAGTCTAAAGCGTTTGTTTATTACAGTGGTCGCCCTGTCGATCGCGAGCTACCGGTAGCTCGCGGAGGCAATTCTAGTAGCTCTCACAACAATTTTAATTTAAAAAATACAAACTGCAAAAATCAGAGAAGCTTCCGAAAATTCCACAAAAAAATCTAATTGTCATAATATTAAACATAAACAGCGGCAACGTTGCGGTGAGCGATCTGCCGCTGACGTCATCAAGCTAGAATCGGCTAGAACTGACCAGCCGGACCAGCGGTTAGTGTTCGAGAACGATTAGGATTGCTTTGAACGGGATAAATACGCACGGCGCGGCGACATTGCGCTTAGTTTAAAACTGAACGCGTAACCAACGTCCAGCGGTTGGGTTAGTAGAGAACAACAAAAAATAATATTATGGCAAGGAGTTGTAAGAAGGTAAAGACATACCACTTTCATTCGGAATGGGAAGAACAATACTTTTTTACAGAAGTTAAAGATAAAAATGTGTGTTTGTTATTTAATACTTCGGTCTCCGTTGCTAAAAAAGGAAATATTGAGAGACATCATAAAACTGTACATTCTAATTTTGAAAAATCATTCCCACTACATTCTGCCGCCAGAAAGGAGAAACTGAAACAGTTAAAAAAGCAGTTAATTGGACAACAATCAATATTTTTAAGAGCAGTCGACAAAAATAAGGCTGCAACTGAAGCATCGTACCGTGTGTCCCAGATAATTTCACAAGAAAAGAAACCTTATGAAGACGGGGAAATGATAAAACAGGCGTTTTTAGAAGCTGCTGATTCGTTATTTGCCAACTTTAGAAATAAAGACGAAATAGTTTCAGCTATAAAATCTATGCAACTTTCTGCTAATACAGTGACGAGACGTGTAGAAGTAATGAGCAATGATATTTTTTTACAGTTAAGAACTGATTTAGATAAATGTTTATTTTTCACTTCAACTGGATGAATCAACAGATGTCGTTGACACTGCCCAGATGGCCGTGTTCGTCAGGATGGTTTTTAGTGATTTTACGATTAAAGAAGATCTTTTGAAGTTTATTCCACTGAAAGGACACACTACTGGACAGAAGTTGTTTTCTCATTTAAAAAATATTATTTTTTCCGAGAAAATTCCAATATCGAAAATGGTAGGTTTGACAACCGATGGCGCTCCAGCTATGGTGGGTTGTGATAAGGGTCTGGTGGCGTTATGTCGTGAAGATGAAACTTTTCCGCAATTTCTCTGTTACCACTGCATTATCCATCAGCAAGCATTATGTGAAAATTTCCTGAAACTAAACAACGTTATGAAACTGGTGGTAAAAATTGTGAACAAGATTAGAGCTCAAGCGTTACAAAGAAGATTATTCAAAACCTTGGCCGATGAAGTTGACTGTCAATACGGGGACCTACTCCTTCACTCTGAAGTCCGATGGTTAAGTAGAGGACGGGTGCTGAAACGTTTTAATGATGTCCTATCTGGCATAGTTCAATTTTTCAAACAACGCGATGAACCGACTCCGGAACTAGAAAATTCAACCTGGCTTAGAGATTTTGGTTTTCTCGTGGAGTCTGAGTGTCAGCCTTCTCATTGAACGTGCTTTTTTTATTTTTCAATGTTTATGTTCATGATAGTGCGTTACTTTTTTGTTGTTATTATTAACTATTTTTAAATATTACGTGACATGCCGTTGTGGCTGGATAAAAGTTTGTGTTTATTTTTCAAACACATTCGTTTGGTAGGTAGGAATGTAGCTATGAACAAATACGTACTAGTAATATTAGTTATTTTGTTATTAGTTTATTATTAGTACCTATGTATTATGTATTACCAGTTAAATAGTAAAATAAATACATATAATGATAAATTAACTGTGGATTATTTCATTTACGTTGCGTTACGTGTCCTCCGTGTGGGTAGCTCGCCGTTTCTTCCAAAATTAACAAAGTAGCTCAACACATTGAGAGGTTGGCGACCACTGGTTTATTACATCTACATTCAGATCTAATTCTCTATCACGTGATAAAAAATTCATAATATCTCATATCCATCCGATGTGGATATTCAAACGCGGCAATAATAAAATAAAATATTCAAAAAGATGGCGACCTTGGTTTAAATTTGTTTTGCTTTGGGTTAGAATCTGTTTTTTAAGACTATTCCGGTTTCATGTTACCGCCAAAAAATAAGAAAAATTATCTAGAGTTTATATACGAGTTTGACCATACTTAGCACGTTAGTTTAGCTCTTTATACCATTGATTAAATTTGTTTTTGGTTCTACCAAACTATTTTTGTTATGTTGCATTGTATTTTCCGTGCAAATTTTCTAATAAGCAGTCAGAGTAACGAAAATTAGTAAGATAGTAAGAAACATTGACTTATTAACAAACATTATGCCGTGGAAGTTAAGTATTCAAAGTTAATTAGTCAAAATTAATAAAAGTAGGTGAAGTATAGATTTCCGTATTTGATACCCGGTATAGGAATATTATCGTACTGAAGGTACACAAATAATTATCATTTTAAATTTCTAATTTAGCTAGGTAAGTCGCAATTTTTTTTAATATAAACATTTCCGCCAATAACAATTAAGGGTGAGATTACAGAACGTCTGCAACTTTGCAGATCTGCAACTTTGCAAATCTGCAAATATGGCGGACTTACAAATGCAAGTATTCCGAAAAATATCTGCAAATTCGCAATATTTATTGTGGTTTATTACCCCCAACAACACTAAACCCAAATTTAAAATACGAAAACTTGATACTTGCATGTGTAAGTCAGTCATATTTGCAGATTTTCAAAGTTGCAGACGTTCTGTAATCTCACCCTAAGTATAATTTTTTTAATTTTCTTTTTTTGCGTCTCTATTATATACCATACTAGCGTGTGCTAAAAAAAGATGATATTTCTTTTTCTTGTTCTCTGCCCAAAATATCATAGAATATGTCCGAACAAATAATATCCTGTTAAAAGAGGAGCTCATAATTTCAATTTTAAGAGGTCCTTTATCGAATCTGAAGTTGTACCGCTTAAATAACACAGCAAAATGATTTTTTTACCTTATTTATTCTGGCAAACTGGGAAGAATTTTTTTTTATATAAAGTCATCATTTTTGAATTATTAACTTTTTGTAAGATAAATATTATTGTTATCACAAAAAGTCAATAGAAAATTATAAAAAAATTGAATTTTCGGAAAAATTATCCTAGTAAAATTTGATGTATTGTCAAACATTAAAATTTACATAAGAGCAATCCAGTCCCTTCTGACGTCACACCGCACGGATCTCACGACCTCCCCTTAAAGTATTTGGAACTTTGTTCGCTACATAAATTTGGCAATGTTGTGTGTCGTGCGCTGAAGAATAATCATATTGGGTAGGGTCCGATTACAATTCAGGTATAATTCGTTGGCTATCGCCGCCTACTGGGGGTTAGTGGCTTGTTAATATTTTAGGAATGTAGGAACACTATTTTTAAACCAAACAACTCAAATATTTTTTATTTATTGATAGTTATAGATGATATACAGGGTGTCCCGAAATTAGATGGTGATATTTTAACAGCGTAATCTACATCCTAAAATAGTTGTAAAAGTTCATATAAACATAGGTCCGAAAACTTTTCTTTTCCGAGATACAGGGTGTTAAAGGTGAAGTCCTGATACCAGACTTTTGTAAATATTTTCTAAACGTTTAAAGATAATTAGGTAAAATTTGTTACAAATACTTACCTTTTTACGCTTCATTTATTGGACTAAACCCCAGTTATTGATCATCTTCTTAGGTGGGTAAATTAAGGGGAGCTTAGGGTAGAATTGCGTGTGTGTCTGTGTGCCTATATCCACCATAACTCATGAACCGATACACAGAAAAACACTAAATTTTAAACTTTAGCTTTAGTTCAGCGTTCAATAAAATGATTAGATTTTGAGCAGAGTCGGAACATCTGGGGGGGTACTTTATAGGTGGTCATTTTTCGAGAAGAAAATTGTTCAAATAAAGCTTACTTCTAATATTATTATCTATAATTTTTGTTCCATACAAAATTTTTCTTAAATGGTCCGTATTCGAGAAATTTGACAAAATGTAAAAAATATTATTTTTTATAAAAAATTTTCAAATAAAAGTTCTTTGAAATATAATTCTCTATAATTTTTATTCCATACATAATTTCTCTAAAATGAAACGTATTCGAGATATTTGAGAAAATGTGTAAATTTTGAATTTTGAAAAAACTCAAAAACGGATGACAGAAAAAAACATTAAATTTTAAACTTAAGTTTTATTTCGGCCTGACGTAAAATGATTAGATTTTGGAAAAAGTCGAAACATTTGGGCGAGTACTTTATAGGAGGCCGTTTTTATATTTTATGGAATATATTTGTTATTTATGTTTGGAGAAGAAAATTGTTCAAATAAAAGTTACTTCTAATATTATTATCTATAATTTTTGCTTTATGTCAAATTTTCCTGAAATGGTCCGTATTCGAGAAATTTGACAAAATGTGCAAAATTCTGATTTTTATGAAAATTGTTGAACTAAAAGTTGTTTGCGATATCGATCTCTATAATTTTTGTTTATATATGATTTTTCTAAAATGGACCGTAATGGAAAATTGTAGGAAAATTGCTAAATTTAAATTTTTCAGTATTTTCGTTTTCAATGAATATAGAAAAATGTTTCGAGGTAGATGTATGTGGAAAATGTATATATTTAGTTTATCCTCTAAACATTTATAGAGGTGCTGCACTAGGTTGTACAAAATATCCAGAAAAAGCCTATAATAACTAGATAGGAAAGTCATGTGTTGGACACATCAGATTTTTTGACAATAAAATTTGGAAAACCAAAATATTCTGTATAATAAAGCTACATTTGTTGCATCTCGCTAGGACGCGCCATTTTCAAGGGAAAAGCATGTTACCTTATTCGAAAGTATAAACAATAATTAGTAGGTCTGTAGAATCAGAAATTTTATTTTTCCTTTTTAACTTTGAAAAACCGGTAACTAAAGAAATTTTAGAAAATATTTACAAAAATGTTCCATCTGGACTTCACTTGTAACACTCTGTATCTCGAAAACGAAACGTTTTCGGACCTATGTTTATGTAAACTTTTACTCCTATTTCTAACCGACTTCAAAAAAGGAGGAGGTTCTCAATTCGTCGCAATATTTTTTTTTTTATTTTTTTATGTATGTTCAGCGATAATTCTTTAACACGGTGTCCGATTTCAATGATTCTTTTTTTGTTAGAAAGAGGGTACTCAGGGGTGGTTCCATATACATTTGGTCAAAATCTAATAATTGGGCCCATGAGAAAATCCTCAAATTCTTCATTTTTTATGTATGTTTAGCGATAATGTTTTACCACCTTGTCCGATTTATATGATTCTTTTTTTGGTAGTAAGGGGGTACCTCAGGGGTGTTCCCATATAAATTTGGTTAAGATGTAGTGACGGCATCTGCACGTTTTTGAATTCGGTTTTTTTTTTTAATTTTTAATTTCTAATACTTGTAGGATTACGCTGTTAAAATATGACCGTCTAATTTCGGTATATTGGAAATTCAAAATAATAGTTATGACGTAGCGGTGTTCTTCTAATTGTAATCGGACCCTAGGTATATGGATACGGAAAGTGATGAATTGGAGATAGGTAAATTGTATTTATTGTATTAAAGGAACAACAAATATAAGTATTAAATAAGTATATTAATATAACAATTTTTTAAAGTCTGTATAAAAAAATTTTTTTCACATAGATTATTAAATTAAAAAAATAACTATTAAAACACGAAATATTAATTTTTTTTTTACAACACAAAATATAGAATACTGTTGAATCAAAATTTTCTCTTGGCAGCAGGTGGTTTTTGTGACGCGACAATTATGATGCTTTGCATATCATGAATTAAAACTAATTCTCTTTCAATCTTAAGGTTACCCCTTATAATTTTCGGACAAGAATATCTCAAAATATTTAAATTTTGGCAAAATAAATTAGGCAATCATATCTATAATATGCATATATTTTAATGTTTTAATTCCTTGCAGTTTCCGAAAAAAACTAAAAGGGCTTTAATTTTGAAATATCATAATGAAAATAAATGCATTCCTCGACAGCACTATTCTTAATATAATCCCCAAATTTAAACTCCTAATGTCTTGTTATTGATTTCTTTAAATTCGCCAAAATTAGTGGCTAAAACGCTTCGTTAAGTGCTATCTTCTGGTGTAAACTGATGTAAATTGTTGCAAGAAACGAATAATGACAGAGTGTACGATACGATAGTTACAAGCGCGTTACACCCGAAGGCAGCACATAACGAGGCGTTTTAGCCACTAATTTTGGCGAATTTTAAAAAATCATTATCAAGGCATTAAGAGTTTAAATTTCGGGATTATATTAAGAATAGTGCTGTTGAAGAATGCATTTATTTTCATTATCATTTTTGATTTTTTTTTTCCCGAAAACTGAAAGGAATTAAAACTTTAAAATATAGGTATATCTAGTTAATATTACCTAATTTATTTTGCCAAAATTTTAATTTTTAAACAAAATTACTTTTTGAAATATCCTTGTCCGAAAATTATAAAGGCTGCTGCATTCACCTTAATATACCAACATACAGGGTGTTTCAAAATTCATGGGACAAATTTCAGGAGGTGATTGCTCGTATGAAATTAAGATGGGTGTTTCCTATAACAAAATTTCCTTAGCCCACCCCTTTCCGAGCTATCACCCTTAAGAGGTGGTGACTAAAATTGAGTTTTATTTTTTTTTGTAAAATTTCAGTAAAGCTAGAAACTTGAAATTCTGTAATTTTCGTGCACTCGCAAAGGACTAACCACGGTTATTTTTTCAATATTCCTGTTACATTATAGGGGGGTGAAATTAGCAACCCTTACTTCATTTCATATCAAAACTTTTTTTCGAGATGAAGTTTTATGAAATAATTTTGTAACTTGAAAAATTTCCCAAAACCAATACCTTCACAGAAAAAAAAACTGTTTTCCACTCAATTTATTAAAAAAAAATGATAAATTAGGGTGTTCATTTTTTTCTCTGAAGCTATTGGTTTTGGGAAAAAAATTCAAGAATAAAAAAAAATAAATAAAACGAGGTTTTCAAGTTATAATTTTATTTCATAAAAGTTCATCTCGAAAAAAGTTTTGATATGAAATAAAGTAAGTGTTGCTAATTTCACCCCCCTATAATGTAACAGAAATATTGAAAAAATACCCGTGGTTAGTCCTTTGCGATTACAGAATTTCAAGTTTCTAGCTTTTAGAAAAAAAATAAAAACTCAATTTTAGTCACCACCTTTTAAGGGTGATATTTCGAAAAGGGGTGGGCTGAGGAAATTTTGTTATAGGAAAGACCCATCTTAATTTCATACGAGCAATCAGCTCCTGAATTTTGTCGCATGTATTTAGAAACATCCTGTATATTACACATTTTTTTTAAGCGGGCAAAATTCTTGACAATCTCTTTTCCCTAATTAGCACATGTCGTATTTCTCTAGGATTTACTAACTGTGGCAGCAAACAAATAAAATAGAAATTTGTCAGCTGTGCATTTTTGACTTCCAGAATTTTTCATTTCATAAATTAACTAAAAACTAAAATAAACAAAAACCTAACAACGCCTCAACAACAAACTAAGACGATCACAATAATTTCGCACCTCTTCAAAAACAACTACCTATTTTTCGACACAGGAATTTAACTAAACAGCAGCTACCCTTTTAACCACGGGCTTCATAGACTAGCAGCGTTGCCATATTCACTGGTATCATTGTTTTAATAGAATTAGTATCGGAATGAAAACTATGTTAATCTTCGGTCCTGTTTAAAATTGGTAATCTTTTTGAAAAAAAGTTATTTAGAAAATAGTTAAGATATTGTTATAGAATGACGCTAAAGAGCCAAAAAATTAAATTTGTTGAAAAGTTGAAATTCTTGGTTCATTTTTAGAACGATTGGCCTGAACTATTTTTTTTACAATTTTTTTTAACTGCCTCAAATGTAAAATTGATTTTTGGCGGAGGAGCACCCGTCATGTTTGCTCTTAAGCTCAACGAAACTAAAACAGTTCAAGTTAACTTCACTAATAAAAGATCAGTAGAATACCCCAGCGAAATACCTAGATATGAACCTAGATATTAAATTAAAGGGGAAAGAACACATAAAGGAAAAACGGGAAAAGTTGGGTATTAAATATAGAAAATTATACTGGTTGGTGAATAGAAAATTAAAACTCTTAGTTGAAAATAAACTTTTAATATATAAACAAGGACTTACGGCATACAGCTCTGGGGGTGTGCCAGTAAAACTAACATAAATGTAATACAACGCTTCCAGAACAAAATATTAAGGGCAACAGTAAACGCTCCTTGGTATGTTAGGAACTCAGACCTATACAGAGATCTGAGAATGACTACAGTCGAAGAAAAGAAGAAAACCATCGCAAACAAAAACACGAAAAAGACTATGATAACGTCAATATTGAAGTTCTAGTTCCTGGACAACCGATACCTAATGAGAAGGCTCAGAAGGACCAAACCATTTGAATTAGTGATAAGCAGAGCACAGTGCGCGTGTGCAGTGTATAGTTATCAGAACAGAAAGGAGAAGATACCATTGGGTGAACTCTTAGTTTTAAGTCTCTTAAGTTTACTTAAGTTTATAATAAAGACAAATTGCTGGTTGGCTGAAATATAGTTAGGTGCAATGCAAACTAACAAAAAAAAAGAAGATATTTAGGAGTAATTTGTGAAGCTACTTATTGTAAAGTATGAGTACTTTAATGCAGTACTCTGCCCAGCTCTGAATACATCAACCAATGACAATCATCTTTTATTTCAACATACGCCAATCAACACAAAATGTATCTGAAAACACTGCATGCTTTAGTATGGTCACTCAATTCCGATTGCATTTAATAATTTCAATTCATTACCAGAGTAAAGTATCAATGATTTATGCGAATTTTGTCAAAATGGCGACGAATTTGGAAAAATCGTTTGAGTTGTTAAAATTTACATTTAAAATACATAATTGACTTCAATTTACGGAATTAAAGCAAATGTTGTTTATAAAAGTTTTGTTTATATTGTTAAATAATCTTTCCAAATATCACGTGACTTGATATTTTGTTATAACAATGTTTCCTTATAAATTAAGCAAATAAATGGAAAAATCGCTTGGGTCATTGAAATTTACATTTAAAATACATAATTGACTCCATTTTAAGGAAATAAAGCAAATGTTGCTTATAAAACTTTTGTTTATATTGTTAATCTTTCCAAATACCACAAGAGATGATATTTTTTTAACATTTTTTGTTTCCTTATAAATTATGCAAATTTCACTTTTGTGGTATTACCCTAAACAATTTGTAAATGAAAATTCACCAAAAACTTCTTTATTTGAATAAAGTAAGATAACAAGAAACATTGCCTTATTAACAAACATTATACCACAAATGTTAAGTATTCAAAGTTAATTAGTCAAAATTAATAAAAGTAGGTGATGGTTTTCCGTATTTGATACCGGGTATAATAAATAATATTATCGTACTGAACGTAGATCACTATCATTTAAAATTGTTAACTTAACTAGGTAAGTCGTAATTTTCTTAATATAAATATTTTCGCAAATAACTATCAGAAGTTTTTTCAGTCACTATTATATTCTGGATGTCAAACTCAGACTAATATTTTACTAATGTCTATTTTTAAGAATAGAAAACTTAATTTATTTTCTTTTTCTTTAAGCTTAGGACAATTTATTTTTTTTTTCCTACGACCACTTAGGAAAGTGACACATATCACACTATATAGTCCTATGGAAAGTGCCCTATATCACACGCGTATGAATAAGAATTTTCTTTCCACCCGAGTGAGAATATGTTACTTTCCGCAGTAGTTGTCACAAAATGTCAAACACCTAATTTCTATTTTGATCTATGTAATGTCCATATTAATACTAAAATCGATATGATTGTTAAATTATTATAATTTTAAAATAATGTTTGCTCTTTATTCTGGTTAAATATATAACCGATTAGATCATTCAATTGACCAGCTCAGGTGGTTAGGACGTCGAACTTATCAACTTTGCCATTTTTCGACCGCGTTCGAATCCTGGCGGGGCAGAATTTTTTTTTTTTTTAGTTTAGAAAATATGAAAATTGAATGATTATTTTTTTAAATACATTTTAATTATTATTGTAATAATAACCTTGGTTTTACATTTTTTTGATGACATTATTTTGTGGTCGTAGGAAAAATATTGTACATCACTTGTGTGAAAAGTAACAATATTTCCCACTCGTGTGAAAAATGTCACTTTCCACACTCGTAATGTAATATACTATATCCGATGCTAATACTATTTAATAACATATCACATAATCAGTCAACATTTACATTTAAAGCCATCATCAAATATAATTTTGGTTAATGACCTGTATTTTGAATTATTTGAAATAAGTATTTACATTTTAATTTGACAGAAAATTTTATTCCTCTATTTTATAGCTGATCAAATGATGTTATTTTAAAATGTTTCCATGACAACCAGAAAATATTTCGGAAATTTTTCTCTTTGTGGGTACCTTGAACTAAATTACACTGGACATTTTGAGAAATGTTTTAATGCACATGATAGTACGACACGACGCGATGAGGTGAATAAAAAATTTGCCATTTCAATGGTTAATAATAATGTAACGTTTATTTAATTTATTTATAGTTTATTTATTTAAAACACTTTATTTTCAATTTATTTATAACGTACTAATTAATTTATATAATATTTATTTATTACAATTATTTATCTTTTCTATACAGCACTTAAAATGAATCTTTTTGTTCGTCGACAAACTCAGGCTATTTATATAAAGCCAGCTCTGTGCCAGAACTCTCTTGGCTTTCCAGAACGATCGAAAACTGCCTCTTTATGACTCATACGTTGCAAAGGGATCACTTCGGTAGCTTCTCGAAGCGGTGTGTTTGTCTCTATATGGCCAGCGCTAGACTTCATACCGCGGGCAAGAAGTAAACAAATTACACGGACTAAACAAAGTACAGGAACTAAAACTAAATGATTGTACCTGCAACTGGATCTTCTTTTTACAATTTCCAGTTGCAAGGAAGTAACAAGGGATGGTTTTCTCTATAACCTGAACGCTGGGAGAATAACTACAGACCAGTATTTCAACCTGGGTATCTTGGAAGATTACTTCCAGCATGTTTTTAATGACCCTTCAATGTAGCTGGTTGCTCTCTGTCTTGGACATGGCTACTTTCTGTACATTGGACTCCAGTACGTGCTCTCTCAGATTGAGTAATACTTCCCATACATTATAATAAGTGGATCGATCTCTACTAAATAGAAAAGATAATGCCATCCACCTTGAAGTTTCATTGTTTTTCCAGGAGCTGGTAACTGACCTTGTAGTTCTGGCAATCGAACAAACTTCTTCCGGAACACAGATGTCAGACTTCGAGCGTCGTTGATGTTGGCGGAAGTGCTATGGATCAACAAGTAGTCTTTAGGAACCGTAAACAGATCTTGTTGTTGCTCGGTTGTAACATCATGTCTTGCTTTTCCGGTACCTCCATATGCACCCATAAATTCTTCAAAGACAAGGTTTCTTGAAGCTAGTTTACTTCTCCTTCCTCGTCATGGTCATCCTCAAATGGCGCCAGCCGGTTTTGTTACACTACCTTCGGTATAGCGTTCGAGATCTTACTTATACGGTAAATGACATCATTGATTTGATTCCGATGAGATACGGACCTTCCCAAGACCTTTGAAGCTTCGAAGAATAACCCTGGGTTATGGAGCCAGAATTTGACGCCTTCCTTGAAACATCCTTCTGTGGCTTGGGTATCGTATCGCTTCTTCATTCTGTCGCTTGCGATTTGAAAATGCGAGCGAACTAACTCATACATGTCAATTTTTCGTCGTAGTTGGATCACATAATCTTCACTGACTATGTCTTCTCCAGGTCGGCATTCAAATTCGAGGTCACATGGTAGTTTCATCTCACGCCCGAACAGCACCTTTGCTGGTGTTTGGCCTGTAGATTTATTGATAGCGGATCTATATGCCATTGCGAAGAGCGAAAGATACTCATCCCAATCTCGCTGATCGTTGGAAACTACTTTTGACAAGTATTTAACAATAATAATAATAATAATAATAATAATAATAATATTTTTATTGACCATTTAAAATACAATATTTGAAAAAAAATAAAATACAATTTAAAAAAAAATTAAAGTACCAGAAATAAACATGGTCAAAAGGTCCTAAGATCAGCTCAAGCTGTTCTTCCTCAAAGGCCTGCAAATGTAATCTAAACTAATCTAATAGGGTGTAACACATGTATATAATAAACAGAACTAAAACAAACAAAAAAGTACTATGGGCCGTTTGCATCGCTGGTCATCAAGAAACAAAAGACTTTTATTTTTTAAGGAAAGATAATAACGACGAGCGGTGCCGATGGATCCTAGTAATTTATATAAACTAAACAAAATCAAATTACAAACTTACAAATTTGTGAATTGGTCATCATATAATATTTTAAACATTTTTGTTTTAAATGATGCTATGGATAAATTAATTAGGGAAACAGGAATATTATTATACTCCTTCGCTATCTGGTATGAGAACGAGTTTTTAAATTGTTGTGTTTGGTGTTTTGGAATCTCAATAGAATTTTTTTTTCGTGTATTTCTACTATGAACATCAGAACGATAAATAATTTTATTTCAAAGATATGGAGGACTATTTTTAATTAAAATTTTGTGAAACAGGGTTAATGAATGAAGTTTTCTCCTATTTAACATATTTAACCATCTGGCATTTGCTAGTGTATGGGAAATTCTATCAAATTTTTTAATTCCATATATAAGTCGAAGGCAGGCATTTTGTAGTTTTTGTAACCTATTTGAATCTGTTACTGAAAGACAAGGTCCATATACAAAATCACAATAATTTGCATTACTTAGAACGAGAGAGTCACAGAGTTGTATCTTTAGTTTTTTGTCAAATAAATGTCTGCTATGATATAAAGTTTTTAGTTTAAAAAAGGATCTTTGTAGAACATAAGAAACATGATCTGTGAATTTCAGTCGATTGTCTAGTATTATCCCCAAATTTTTTGCTTTTTGAACAGTTGGTAGAGCCACATCATTAATTTTTATAGACACGTTAGAAGAAGCAGCTCCAAAAAACATAACAGCTGATTTTTCTGAATTAATCACCAAATTATGTTGGGTAGATACTTTCACCAAGGCATTTAGATCGGTATTTATTTTCTGAATGCACTCTGATTCATCGTTTTTGTTAAAAAACATATATAACTGCGTATCGTCAGCATACATATGAGCTTTGCAATATTGTAAAACCGAACACAAATTGTTTGTATATATTGTATAAAAAAGAGGGCCTAGGATTGAACCTTGGGCTACTCCTCGCCCAACTTGCTCTACGCTAGACGATACACCATTATATAATACTTTCTGTGTTCTTCCCGACAGAGAGTTTCTAAGAAATGTTATTGCGGTTGGTCCTAAGCCAATAAAATGCAAAATGGATAAAAACAATTTGTGATTAATCATGTCGAATGCTTTACTATAATCAAGCAGAATTAATAAACCAACATTTTTGGCGTCGGATTCCTTCAGAAAGTCATCCGTAATATTTAATAGGGCCGTACCACAGCTATATCCCGATCTAAATCCCGATTGTGTGAGTGGTAGAATTTTATATTTATCAATGTGTTCTCGAAGTTGTTCCTCTACAACTCTCTCCAAAACCTTTGAAAGTGTAGGCAGAATAGTTATGGGACGAAGATCATTTAAGTTTTCAGGGGAAGTGACTTTTGGAATAGGAAGAACTAGGCCCTCTTTCCATATATTTGGGAAAACAGAATTTTTTAGACAAAAATTTATAATGTAAGTTATATGTGGAATTAGGTAGGGACAAAGAAATCTAATTAATGTGACATTAATTCCATCGGTTCCACAAGCTTCGGTTTTAATTTTAAGAATAATTTTAATTATATTATATTCATCTATTTCTTTAAATTCAAGCAGATTTTCAAAATTTCCTTTAAAGTTGTTTTGGTAAAAATTTTGAGTTTCCGGGTGAGGGTTAATGACAGAACCATTAATTTTCAAGAAGTTTTTATTGATGTCATTCGCATCGAAATTCGAGGAAAGTTGAAACTTATTACTATTCTTATATCCGGTAAACTTATTTATTATTTTCCATTTTTGTTTATTATTGGCATTAGAAAATTTTTGATTGAAATAGATTTTTTCTTCTGCACGTATGGCTTGTGTAATATAATTTCTTAAATTCTTATAATAATCCCAATGAGATTTTTGTTTTGTTTTTTTGTATTTAGTAAACGCCTTATTTCGTAAATTAATCATAAATTCTATATTGTCAGTGATCCATGGTTTAGGACTATTTTTAAAGGTTATGGTCTTAAGTGGAGCATGTACATCGAATAATTGGGTAATAAGTTTATTGAATATTTTGATTTTATCATTAATAGTGGCATTTTCATAAACTAAGTACCAAGGCTTTGATTTAAG